GTAGGCTAATAGAAGACAAGGAAATACAACCAATGTGAAAGCAAGTTGCACGGACGGGACTGGGAAGTGGGATAGGTCAGCAAAAAGTGCTTCAGTACCTGTAAGTGTTCACAACCAGTCTTCAGGGACTACGTCACAAACTTGCTTGTATTTCACAAATAAAAAAGGATGGAATATCGAAAATTTACCTGTTATACTAAGCATAATACCTCCAAGGGAAGTCCACCCATCTTTTCCTCCCCTCTTAAAAAATCGATATACATATACAGGTGAAAAGGCTTTTAAAACCCTACTATCATACTTCCAAACATTGAACATGCCAATTCCTCCAATTACGAGAAACCAAATAAAAACAATTGGTGCAAACAGCCAACCGACTTTATCTGTCCCATAGCGTTGCACACTAAACAAAAGTATCAGTATAACAACAGCAACAAGCACGACTACCTCTGTATAACAAAAGAGTAGTTATGATTAGATTTGGAAACAATGATCGATGAGTAACAAACATGGTGAAGCAAATGAAACAGTATATTTGTGTCCAAGAGTATGGAGATACCATTACTAATCTTGGAGTGGCCTACATTGATCCCACCAACTGCTGACAGAACTGCAAACGATAGTATGGTTAAGGGTTAAGTGTACTTATCAAGCAGAATATGGTTAAGAGCTTCCAATAGAACTGACAAAGAATCATACTCGCTTCAGCGGGAGTTATCATAAACTGTAGAGTATTTTAATGTTCTAACCTAGTCTAAATGCTTTCCAGGAAGTAGCTTTTACCATTTAAAAAAATAGTTTCTCAATTAAGATTGGTTAGAGTATAAGGGATTGCAATATGCTTCCCTTACAAGTTATGTCTATAGGAACTAATCACGCAGGTTGAAAGTGTTGGGATATCCGTAAAACAAAACTACATGATCACGAAAATTACCAATGAGGATAGTTAAACAGAAGAATGATCCTACAATATCAACAATGAAGCTGCGCACCTGATATGGCTGGAGTCAGAATCCCGTCCCCAATCACCATGCAAGAGCCAACTAGGACAAGAATAAGAAGAGTGCTCTGCATAAATGCATGCCCCTCCAACCATCTCCTGGTTCTTGCAGCAAATGATTTCTGACCAAACGAAGAATGACTATATGTTGTTAGTGCCTCATCCGTTTGGTCTTGGTTAGGAATAGCCTTTATTTTTGCATATCGACAGAGTAGTGAATATAGAGCAAACGTTCCACCTGCAACCATGAGGAGGATAAGTTTACATGAACTAAAACCCGGAAGACAGCATCTATAGCTCTCGATGTATTGTCTCTATCAGTGAATAATCAAAACATAGATACTTTTGATTAATGATCTGAGAACAGCGTTCAAGGTAATACGGTAACATTACAAAGGTGGGAGGGGAAGGAAGAGCTTATATATCAATGATAGACTGTGATCAAATTACCTTGACCATTGTCATTTGCTCGACAGACAATAAAAACGTACTTCAGGAGTGGAATAAGAGTGAGAGAGTAGATAATAACAGATAAAGCTCCAATTAAATCCTCCGGGTCATCAATTCCATCAGGAAATGTATTGTAGAAAACATACAAAGGAGATGTTCCTAAATCTCCATATACCACACCAAGGCTTTGAAACGCAAGCTGCACAAGCAATAATGCTGAAAATTTCTGGAAGAATAAGAAAAGAAGTGATCAGCAACAAGAGCAAATATAGTTCAGAAATAGCAGAATACCTTCAAGGTTACATAAAGCAATCGTTTCAACCATATAGTACGAAAAGTTAATATTAATAACATATCTCTGATGACAATAATGAATTGATTATAAACAAACCAACCCAATCGCTGGACTGCTAGATTTCGAAAGTTCAAAGTCGAATTTCTATTTGTACTGGTGAATTCGGTTTTGAAACAGTTCCACTGAAGAACAGGGGTGAAGGAGTGAGATAGTACCTTTTCCTTGTACATAATTCTCAACCTTTTAGCCTCCTCATCCATGGGCTGATCAAGCTGCTGATCCAAAACCCAAACGCTACCATTCTTATCAGTGCTTTCATCAGCTGCCATTCTTGCAGCCATTCGAAACCCGATGATTCAAAGGACTTTACTTCCCTTCCACCAATTCACCTCTCCACTATATTCTTTTCAATCCTTCCCCTCTATAATTTAAAGTTTGAAACTTTAGTCCTGCTGAACAAGATCCAAAACAGATATCAGTGTTAGCAATCTGAAGATTCTTCTTTTGAATTGCTACCAACTTACCAGGGAAAAATCCAAGAATAACTAAACACCAACATACAATCCCCAATTAAAAAGCTTATCATCAAGTACAAAACACTAAAAAAGCATTCAAGTGAAACAAGTGCACCGCCCAGAATTCCAATACAGTAGATGAACAAGTTGAATGGATCAAATCCAGAGCTTAACACCAAAAATGAACAATAACCCAGAACTCCATTGAATCCATGACAGTCCAAGAACATCCAGGATATATATATATATGTATGTATGTATATATTATAATTTACACAAAGATTGTAAAATAACATGGGAAAAGAAGCAAAATTTATTAGTGTGTTTACCTTGGTTGCAACTTGCAGGTGATATTCCCAGGTGGGTTTTGTCTTAAAGACTTCGAGTAGCTATTAAAGCATAAAACAAGAGTGAGAGGGATGAGAAGACGCCATTTCAGAGCAAAAGAGGAGTTACAGACTTCACCCTTTTTTGTTTTGGCAATCATTGAGTCATTTCTTAATCTAGTCAGGTTGAATGTTTATTTATTTACCTTTTCTGGGTCAATTTCTTGGATCTTACGAAGACAATTGTTATTACCAAGCTTGTGTTTTGGCCTAATTTTTTAATATAAAATGTTGAATAGAAAGGAATTGAACGCGTCCAGAGCTTAGGAATCAAATTATCTGAATCATCGATTGGTGTGTAAAAGAAATTAGAGCCGTTGGTTTTATGTGGTGAGTCAGAAAAATGAGTTAATGGGGATCGTTAGATTGAATTTGTTCCATTCAAATGAATTGATTTCTAGGCTCCGGACACTAAGGTTCGGAACGGATCTAATTCTGAACAGAAATTTAAAAAGAAAAATTAACTAAAAATCCATAAAAACTTTAGTTTTAATGAAAAAGACAAATAAAGATGTAGTAAATAGTACCAAAAAAAGATAAAAATGTGATTTTTCATTAAAAATAAACAGTACCGAAAATATTTTGTTAAAACTTCCAATTTAAAAATCAATACCTTCCTTAAATGTCCGGGAGAATTTCAAGTTACAAATGTTTTTAAGCATGGTAAAAAATTCTCGTAATATGTAATGTCTTGCATGTCAGAAATATGTAGAAGATTTAGAATTTAGAATTCATACCAACAACGTGAAAAGCGACCGACACAAATGCCAAAATCATTCACGAGATCTGTGATGTTATTTTATGAGTTTCTTTTTGTTAACATGCAAGATTCTAAATGTGGGCAAATATGCTCATTATTTTACCATGTTATTATGACTGTGATGTTTCTACATTCCGCTAGTTTGTGTGCCAATTACCAACGTTATACAAACATTGACTTAGTCAATGTCGTACAAACATTGACGTTGTAGTACGGCATTAGTCAAAGCAAGTGCAAGGAAAATATAAACCATGGGATTTATTATCAATTTTATATTATATTGTCATATTTAGGTATGGTGTAATATATTAAAAGTGAAATTAGTTCAAATCTCACCTTTATCACAAAAATTTAGATTATCGTTTTGTCAAAAAAAAAACCAAAAAAAAAAAAAAAAAGCTTTTTAGTCAAAATGGTCTCTGAGATTAAAAATCAATAGAAATGGTCTCTGAGATTGTCCACTATCCATTATTTTGGTCATTCTGTTAAAAACTCTGTTAATGTTCAGAAACTCTTGGCCAAAAGTTTGGACAATTTTCAAAGCTTTGTAACTCAATTGTTTTTTAAACAAATTCGACTCACACTATATCAAAATGAAGATAGGAAAGTGTAAAATAAGATTATACCTATTTAGAAGCCCAATGGCTGCTGGAGATGGCCGTAAAATAGCCTGGAAGGTGACTGGTCTGCGGGAAAACTGGAAAACTCGCCGGAAATTGGGTAAACTTTAAACGTTCATAACTTCTTCAATACTCAACGAAATCAAGTGATTCAAAATGAAAATCATGCTTCTCAACGACATGAAGAGAATGGTACCTTTCTCAACGGTTAATTCATCGTGGTTTGGCTGGAAAACGGCTCAAAAGTGGCTAACTCGAGATCAAGACAGCCAATTTCGAGCCGTTTTCTGGTGCCTCCTCGCCTATTTTCCAGATGAAGAGAAAAAGTTCGGATCATGGTTTGATGCCTTGCCTATTTATAGATTTTGCATTTCATGTAACAAAAGGGAAATAAAACGAAATAAATATCCAGATTTTTACGTAGAAGACAAGACCTTTGTAGAAAACTGAGTGACACGATGCAACAAGCACGTAGCTTGACATGCAATGAGTTTCCCGCTCAGTTTGTCAAGAGAATTCAGTTCCTCTTTCTCGAGTTCAAAATAACTATTCTACCAAAAAAACTAAAATTTGGAGCTTGACATGTTTTCTGTTAAAAAAAATACCCCCTTTGAATTGTCCCTTTATAAACAGGAAAAAAAAATTACAAAGAAGATTCTCGACGGATGTTAAATACCAGAATTTACATTTCCCATGTCGAAGCTATAAACAAGTACCGAGTTCAAAAGAAGGCAGAAACAGAAATCCCATTTTTCACAAGTTTCTGTAACATTTCTCAACGGTCTAATTGCATTCCTAATATTATACTAGTAAGCCACTAAAGCTTTGGGAAAAAAAATTATAGGATATGATGGCAATAAGGCCTATATAATGCTTTGCGGTTCAGATACTTTGGTTAGAAGATGCGATTATGAGACAGAGTCGGAGCAAAAAGTATAAAAGAAGACTTAGGAAGAGATTTTAAGAAAAAAACATAAAATACTTGGAGCCAACGGAAGACTTGGCGCAAAACCGAGCGCATTAGCATGCTAGGATACATATAGCCACCCACTTAGTGGTATAAGACTTTGTTGTTGTAACTGTATTTGCAATAATACAGAATTTGAAAAAAATACAATTGGCATTTACATATGATATAAAGTAACTATTTTATGATAGACAAAAAATTACACATAGAAAATCTGTCCAACATTCAATAGACTCTCGTGAGGAACGTTGAAGATCACACTATTCTCCCTGCAAATTTTCCTGAGAAATGCATAAATGTAATCAACGGCTATCTTTTTGTAGAACCTGGAATCCCTCCTTGCTCTCACTACCGTGTTCCCAAGTATATGCACCACCCCGGACTCTCGACAATTATTCAGAAACTCTAGCTCATCAATCTCATTCTGGCTGCTCATCTGCCCGTACGAACTCACGGTATTGTTCGCGTGCGGTGGAGATTTAGCCGGAACAATTGAGTCCACTGATGAGATACTGAGGTCTACGGTAGAAGTGGTTGTGTTGCCATTATTAGTTAAGAGGCCGTCCCTTGATCTCTCAGTTTGCTGGCCATTGATGCTGTACTCATCTGAGTCTGAACACCCTTCCATCATGGACTCGAGCCGGACAAACAGGAAAAGGTTTTCAAAGAGCTTCTTCTCAAAATCATCATCTTTCTTGTGTAGGTCTTTATAACCGTATCTTGCAACACAACGAAACATGTGGAAACTCTTGGGGCCAATCCGCTTGACGAGGAATCTTTCTTCTTCTGGGACGGTGTATACAGGGAGGTACTTAACACAGACAAAGACAACAACCTGGTGGATTGCGGGCAGGTTGGTGATGAAGTGGGAAAAGATGTGGGGCACCCCGCTTGCAAGCTCGGTGTACACAAGTCCTATCCCAGGGACCCGAACCAGTCCTAAACTGGGGCCAAGCCCAAGAAGCCATGCCATTGAAACTTTACTGTGCATCTCAAACTCATAACGTTTCAACGTACCATAATGCCAAACATACATGATGAGAAGAAAAGCAGCTGCAATCACAAGAGGAACCCATCCACCTTGATCAACCTTGCAGAGTACAGCAGAAAAGTAAGTGCATTCCACAATCAGCGACAAGCTGGTGAATGTAACGACAAGAATCCAATGGCAGCGCCACACTAATATCATGATTAGAGTCATAAGCAATGTGGTTGCCAGCATGACTATTACAACTGCCGTCCCTGTAGCAACATAAAATATAACTCAATTGAGTGCAAGCTTATTTTGGAAGAACGAGCTTAAACTAGTAAACATTTCATCACAAATCAATTTCACAACGGCAGGGCAGCAACTATTTCTCTAAATTGTCTCAAACAAAGTTCACCACCTCCCGACTTCTTCAGCTCTGAGTTTATCTCAAATACTTCTCCCGTCTCTTATTTTATTTAAAGAAGTTTTCAACCATTTTTTTTTTCAAAGAAGATTTCGCAATTACATTACATGTTCTTCGAGTCTAGTTGCACAGAATAGAGAATATGGCTCATGTAAGCTTCACAAGATTTAGCAGAGGATGAACTTACCATAAGCATTTCCAATTTGGCTTTGATTTTTGAACCCAGCAGTCACCGCAATGCAAAGAATCATAAGGATCCAATTAATATCTGGAATATATATTTGGCCGAGGAACTTCTTTGATGTATGTACAACTTTGACTCTAGGAAAACAGCCAAGTGCAAGAGCCTGCTTGATTATTGAAAATGTTGCTGATATTGTTGCTTGACTAGCAACTACGGCAGCAAGAGTCGCAACAATGAAGACTGGCCAGTATATTTGTTCTGCAGTAAGAGAAACAGTAAGCATCTTTGGAACAACAACATGCTGCCTAGTGCCTACTGTATAAGACATTATATTACTTGTTTCCCCGCTTTTCTTAGATTATGTTAGAGATCGCATGGAGATGGCACAGTAAAAATTCTGTACAGGAAATATTACATTCCCACTCCAACTAAAAGACTACAATGTATTTTGTGTCATATCGACTTTGATGATTTTCTTCAAAGTAATCATATTCGTTCAAATATTTGATCAAATAATCTCTCGGCAAATAGAGAAGTGGGGACTTATAGCTCGAAAGGTTGAAAGTATTTACTCTCACACTCAAAGTTAAAGTTTGAGCGTGCCCATCCCCCCCTTGACCTCCCTTGTACAAAAAAATAGACCCAACAATCTACGTTAGTTACGATTAAAAAGACTAAAAAAGGTACTGAAGAGTGAAGAGCATGTTCTTTAATTCTATCAAAAACTATACTTTGAAATGTTATGCCTCAATTTTGAGAAAATCATTATGTGTACTACCATGTTTGATATGGGCATCCTTTAAATGCAAAATATAAATTAGAACAAACCTGGAATAGAAAGATAAAATGCTTGAAGCACAGTTTTGTCTTCATGATTTTTCACAAGGAAGGCAGCCTGTCCGCAATAGGCCAAAAGAAGGCAAGGAAACACGACTGTAGTAAACGCAATCTGTACAGCTGAAACTGGAAAATAGGCAAGGTCGGCAAAGAGTGCTTCTGTCCCTGTAATCATTTATCATTCAGAATTTTCATAGGAATCCAAGATCAGAGATGTGGTAAATTTTTGCTGAAACTTAAAGAGTTGGAAAGTGAAACTAGGATACAGAAACTTTACCTGTTATACTAAGCATAATACCCCCAAGAGAAGTCCAACCATCTCTCCCGTTCCTTTTAAAATACCGATATATATACACGGGGTAAAAAGCTCTCAAAACAGTACTGTCATGTTTCCAGATGTTGAAAATGCCAATACCTCCAATTAATAGAAACCAAAGCAGCACAATGGGAGCAAAGAGCCAACCAACTTTATCTGTGCCATAGTGCTGCACGCTAAACAGACCTACTAATATTACAACAGCAACGAGTATGACATAATCTGCACCACAACAAAGAAAGTATAAGTTAAGAAATAGTTCAAGTAATGACGGAGAAAGATGCAGAGGCAGCAATCATAAAAAATTGACAATTATAAAAGAATAAAAAGTAAACTTTAGCTCCACGGAATTTGATGGTACCATTGTTCATGCCAGGACTTCTGACTTTGATCCCACCAGCAGCTGATAAAACTGTCAAAAGCAAAGCATAGTTAGTCATTTTCTAATGAAAGGTGAACCTGAGGAAAATAAAAAAAATTTAACTTAATTGATATTGATGTGTCACTTTTTTTTATCAAACTGGGTAGAAAAAAAGAGGAATCCATGTTGTTGGGGAAAGATAATTAACACAGCCAATCCAAATGGTTTGGAATGAAGGATGAGTTGAGATAAAAGAAAATGCAACAGAGTTGTACATTCCTAATTACGTAAATAAGAAGGGTATGGGTGTTACGGAAAACTGTTACACAAAGTAGGAAATCTTAAGCAGCGAAATTTTCCCATTTCAATCTTTTTCTGCTTCCAGAATCAAGAAAAGAACATTGAACATATTCAATTATATGGTGCCTAAAATCTGCAACTTTAATTGTCTTCTATGTCCAATAGTTCAGGATGACATGACATTAACCAACTTCCACTTCCAACTCATTACTTCAACCCATGGAAGTGGAACCATATTTTTCTTCAGTAAATCCTGTGACAGTTTCCCAGACATCACTAGATACCAAGACTAATGGAATGCATTGTATCTCTTGAGAATGATGAAGATATTAACTCTTTGAAAATGCAGACGCTGAGATTAATAAGGGAACCACTGAGTACCGAGAAAAACATGGGAAAACCTAAGACTGAGTAAGCATGCAGAAAATCAATAAATCATTTCCTGATACATTGTCATGTGATTTGTAGGCCTTTGTGCTTTTGTTATTTAGTGGATCGTGGGATGCTTCCAAGAACATTCTTCGGCACTTACTTCTTGGCATGGCCCTTTAGTAAGATGAGGAATCATACAGTTTGGATTACTTCTTTTTCTGTTTAGACAGATATGTTAGATCTTTCTGAGTGTAGCACTCTATGTATTGGCTAAAGGCAGACTTTTGAGATTGTTATCCAAGTCGATAACTACATTGACCTCCAGAACACATTATCTTTTTCTAGCTTTTCTTTGTTTCTTAACTTCTTTTGGCCTTTTAATAAGAAGTTTCTCTGTTTCTCAATTACTTCTTGTGTGTATACTTCTTATGTACCTGAGTGCACCATTGGGCCTCTCCTAATTAATTTTTTTCACTTATCGTGGAACCAAAAAAGCAGATTAAAAAAAAAAAAAAAAGGACCAACAGGTAGATTAATTACTTGGAGAGAGGTTAGGATAATTCCAACTGTGGAGGAATGCGTACCAGATATAACTGGAGTAAGAATTCCATCTCCAATCACCATACAAGTGCCTATGAGGACCAGAAGAAGAAGGGCATTCTTCCTTGATGCATGCCCCTCCAACCACTTCTTGGTTTTTGCAGCAGATGATTGTTCATGGAAAGTAGAACGACTATATGTTGTTAGCTCCTCATCAGTCCGGTGTTGGTTAGGAATAATTTTAACATTTGCATGCCGACAGAGAAGTGAATAAAGAGCAAATGTTCCACCTGCAACACAGAAACCACAAGCTCCATAAGACTTTACGGTGACTCATAAGCACAAAAGGTACTATACAACTCTTGGAGGCATGTAGTTTGAGAACATTGAAAACAAAGCCGACACAATGTCATGTTTAATCAATTTCAGGAGAAGAACTAAAAAAGAAAACTTATCAAACCTTTATTCTAAATTAAGAAGTATATGTATCAGTGTTGCCAAAATAATCACTTCATGTGTAAGTATAGCTTCACACATTGCTGCGCATAACTTAAAACACATAACCAATGATGTGAGCTGGGGATTGAATCGGTAAGTAAAAAATTTATAGGCGTGCATCATTAATGTAAGCCGAACACTGGACACTAGTATATGCTACTTTTGGAAACAATTCTACCAGAGATCACTTTATACGCTAGCATAGATTTTAAATAGGCATATTTTAACTGTAATAGCGAATAATAGTAAACATGTGCTTTGTCCATTTTACAATCCCATAAAACACCAGAACAGTTGAATTTAATGGAGCAAATCTACAAGTAGAGTTTGGTTTACCTTGACCACTGTCATTTGCCCGACAAACAACAAATACATACTTGAGGAGCGGTACAAGAGTAAGAGAGTATATAATCAACGAAAGGGCTCCAACCACATCCTCCGGATCATTAATCCCATGGGGAAAGGTATTGTAGAAAACATACAAGGGAGAAGTACCCAAATCTCCAAAAACCACTCCAAGACTTTGGAATGCAAGCCGCATAAGCAATAGTGCGGAGAACTTCTGGAGAATCGAAAATTGGATCAGCAAACAGAATCAAGAACATACATTATCTTGCAAAGCAACTAATATCAGGCAATTACTCAACCTATAAGCATATACCACATTCCAGTCGTTTTCATAGCAGTTGAATTACGTCCAACAAAGAATAAAGAGAACTACTTACTAATAGTTTAGCCCGAGAAGGTATAAACTCTTATACAGGGAGTAAAAACTGTTTTAACTTCACTGAATTACTTCTGAACTGTTATAGATTGAGGGAAGTGGGAGGATTAGAGAGAGAGTACCTTCTCCCTGTACATAGTTCTCAGCCTGCCAGCCTCCTCGTCCATGGGTTGGTCAAGCTTCTGATCCAGAACCCACATACTGCCTTTGTTGGTGGTATCACTGTCTCCATTAACCTCTGCATTTGAAGCCATTGAAATTTCAAAAGGTTCTGCAGCTTCCACAATTTTATTCCTTCTGATATCCCCTCACACCTCACAATCCAAATCCCACAACAGGAATACTCAACAAAACCAATATCAAATCACAAAAAACTGACTTTAAAGCTAGACCCAGATCTTCAATTTTTTATCTTCACCTGAAAAATTTACTCCCAATACAACTTTGAATAAAAACCCAGAAACAAAACAATACAATCTGCACACCAAAAGAGAAAACAACAACAAAAACTGATTAGGATGATATGTCCAGTTCAAAAAACATATCTTTTAAAACAACAAAAGACAATCCAAAGGCACTTTACAGAAATTGACAGAGCTCAAAAAGTTGACACCCACCAAAAGTTTGAAAGAACAAAATCCAAAGTTCCAATCTTTTGATAAAAACCCACCAAGAAAATGAATTGAAACTAAAGTTTTATACTTCAACTCAGTGCCAAATATACCCAAAATTCAGGAATTGAACAAAACCCGTCAAAACCCAGGAACCCAATTGGCAATTGAGGACAGGAGCTGAAAGAACACCTCACACAGACAAGGAAACGACAGAAGAAACAAGGAAGTGATAATTATTACTTTTGCCACTGGAATTCCCAGGTGGGGTCAGCTGAGTCTCAGCCACAGGATCAAGAAGTATCCCATGATGCACTAAAGCAGGGAAGATGAACAGAGAGAGAGGGAGGGAGAGAAAGTCAGTTTTCTGCAGGAGAAAACAAGGGCTGGCTGAAACAGAAAGGGAGAGTCCTTTTGCAGTGCAGGTTTTCACAGTCCGTTTTTGGCAGTATATTTGTTGAAGGCGCAAGCTTTTCAGCCAAATAACAGAAAAACACACAGCTGCTTTAAGGAAAGGATTTACTCATAAAGCATCTCTCTGCCAATTAATGGGAGAATGTAGAGAGATATCTAGAAAAAGACAAGCAGAGAAGAGAGAGAGAGAGAGAGAGTAAAGAGGAGAAGGTTTTTTTTTTTTTTCTTTATGCACAAATAAATACACAGATAGAGGAGAAGTTTGATTGTTAGTTTTCGATACACAGAAAGATCTGGTGCCTCCAGAACCATCAGAAAAATAGAGAAAGATCTGAAAAATTGGTAAAGTCTAAACTTCACATTATATCGAAAAAAAACTCTTAAATTTTGATCAAAATTGATGAATTTTATCGATATTTCTGACATATCAGTTGAATATTGACAAACTACCATATGACATTTCCTAAAGTTTCATTGTAAATACTAAATTTCCACGTTGTTGAGCAAATTTCTTTTATTTCTATCCAAAACAACCAATATCGATATATCTATCACTATTAACAAAATTTGCATATCGATATTCCACGATTTCGATATTTTAAACTAATTAGAACTAGGGTTGGCCACAAACCAGGTTGGGTCCAAAATTAGAGAAACTAATTTGTAAATTAAACGGGGGGGGGACATAATGGATCGTGTTTTTTTTTTCATAAATGAAATTGGCACCTTTGTAAAAGAAAAATTGGGATATGCTATCTATACATTTTTTTCTTCTTCTTATATACCCTTTGTTAATTTCTGTTATTTAATCTTTTTTTTTTATTCAAATTCGACGACGGTGGCAAATTACGTAGCGTAGCACTCCAAAAAATTAATCAAGTGAGCTAAATTTAACAAATAGTTAAATAAGAAGGTTAAAGATGAAATAGAATAAAAATTTTGAAGCGTGATATATGATGTGGGCCACTGTTCACCAGTTCAATGTTTTTAATGCGAGTGTTGGACCCACGAAACTGATTAGTTGATTGGGTGTGTCAAATCTGGTGGAACCTCGCTTCTTTGTTTATTTATACACTCGCACTGATTATTAGATGCACTTAATAATAAATAAGTACGTTAATTAATATTTAAGTTATAACTTAATTATCAACAAATACACCATTTGTTTATAAATTTTGATTTAAGAATTTGATCTCACTAGCATTACCCATTGACAAAAACACTTGATTAATTATTAACTTATATTCAATGTATAAAACATTGATATAGGTGGAAACATTGATATCAATTACCTTCGGCAAAAATTATAGAAATTTGCAATGAGGTGGGTATACAAACTCATTAAAATTTAGTCGAAATTAGAGAAAAATTTCTCAATAAGAGTTCAAAAGTTTGAATTCTGCAATGGGTTCAGCAAATTTTTTTGCAGTGAATCGGTAAATATCATTGATCTTCGTTGATTTTCCTACCTCGCCGATATAGGGTGAAATTTTCATTTCACCCCCTTTTTCGATATCAATCCTTAATTTTTCAAATATTTCGATGAAAATATCGACAAATTTCAAGGATATTTTAAACACTGCTTATGTCCACAGGTTGCACAATAATAGTAAGAGAAATGCTAAGGAGACCCTCAAAATGAAACTCGGCATAGAGACTTTATCACCATATTTTTTACACAATGTTTTAAAGTATTGACTGTAAGTTTCAACAAAATATGTGAGTCTGCGAGCGATTGTATGCATAATATTCATTTTAGTGTATTTTACTCAATCAAACAATGAATCTCGAAGCTTTTCTTATCAATCCAAAAATGTTTGTATTCAGTTTTATGATTATTTCCTTTGTCAAATGAGTTTGGTAATAGAGATACATATTAATATAAAGAATTTTAGCTAATGTTTTTAACATTGAATTTTAGTGATAATCAAATAGGGTTATCTTTCGAGCGGGTTGAAAGTTTCGACAAGATTTTGATGAAGTTATTGTACATGTCTTTTCGGACATGGATCCTTTCCGGACCTAATTGTCCTAATACTAGGGATCCATCAATCCGGACCGTTGAAATTTGATCCAACGGTTAAAGTTATTATAACTTTTAAAGTGAGCTCCTGATTGTAGCCGTTTGATTAAATTTCAACGGTCCGGATTAATGGATCCCTAGGATTAGGATAATTGGATCCGAAGAGGATCCATGTCCTGTCTTTTCCATCTTAATGAACATCGTAACTTTTTTTTTTTTAAGAAAGAAAAAGCACTCTAGGGCTAGGGTTTTGGTTTCACTGTCATAACTGGATTCCTAATACTATTATAGTGATCTACATCTAAATATTCTACGGCCCATTATTAGTAGGTTGAATAGTTACTTTAGCAGTGAGTAGAAGACATTGGCTTTTGTTTTTTTTTCTTTTAATTTGCTATTTTTAGAGGGATGAGAGAGTTTGAAATTATTAGAATAATTATGAAAAATTTTAAACTCAGGACGTATGTGTGAAAACGCAACATCTAACAGTTTATCTACTAGAATATTGCATGCACCACATGCAAAACTTTGGCTCTTGTGGTTCGACACAGAAAGGATTATTCTATCTAATTTGTCGAGAAAATGTTAGCCTTGTCACTTCCTTTTAGTTTAATTGAGTCACAATACATATGAACTTTTCTTTTAAGAGGGAATCGTGACAATAAGACAAACTAATTGAATCAATTGTCTTAAGTGGTTATAACTTTCTTTTTAATTCCATTTTATATGTGTTCGAGTTTTTCTTCTTTCTCTTAATACAGTTAAGGTTAAAACTATCGCTTGTAAGTTGTAAATAAAAGAAAAGTAATCATTTTCCTAGGTGGAGGAATTTTAATTTTTGTTTTTTCAAGCTTATCTTTGTTGCATCCAAGGCTGTTCATTTCATTTTATAATTAGCATTTTGTGTACAAAATAATTTCATTCTCTTCTATCTTTATAGAGGTCGATTTGCTGATGAGTTTGTAATTGTAAACTTCTGTTGTTCCTTTTTTCATGTATAACATATTAATTACGTTTAACATGTCTTTTCTATGTATAGTTTTTATCTTTAAAAAAAGTTTCACTTGATTATAAAAAATATAATATCAATTTATCAATAATCAGTTTGGTAAAAGGGAATGCGAGCATACTAATTTATGTGTTAGACAATCAAACAAAAATTAGATGTGTGTTTCCAATACGTTGAAAAATTTCTCTTATGACTGCCGCTTTGAAGAAGTTAACTTATTCAAAATCTGCAGAAGGAGTTAAGCAAAATGATAGAAATCATGCCACTCTTAAAATAATTTAGTGTTAGAAGCTCAATTATTAATAGTCAAAATCCAATTGCTAAATTGTCTTCTTCTTTTATTCATTTGGTATGCATGATTGCTAAATTTAAACAATGTTATCCAATTTTTTTACGAAGCACTATTATACTCCAAATTATTTTAATTTACGAAAAAAAAAATTCAGACTCAGACGTAGGTATCTAAAACAAAACCCACATCAACTCATGAAAGTGTAATTGGTAAAATAGTGTAATTGGTAAAACTAATTAGACCTAGGAAGTTTCATTGACCATCATATTAGTGGGTGATTATAAAACCCGACGTGGAGCATTTATAACTTTCAAATCATGATATCACTAAAAAAAAATCACTTTTAATCAATCATGTCAAAACGATGAGCATTAAAATATGATGAACTGTCGATTTAATCTATAAATTATTATTTTAGTGAAAATTAAATTCTTAAATTTATTAAAAATTATTAATTTCATTCGTAATATTATACTCAAAACTATTTTATTCAATTTCTTAGTCAATTTAAGTCACATGACACATTTTTGAGGATATTGCTCTCATTTTCTTGCATATAAGCTCTAAATGTTGCAAATAGGTTGCGAATTTGATGTCTAATTTACCTTTCAAATTTAACTTCATACGCTATTTCTTCAAAAAAAAAATTAAGTCCTTAAACTATGAAAAACTACCAATCTACACACATGCAGTCACATCACTTGAATTGATGAAAAATTGAACGAAACTGCTTCGAATCTAACATTAGAGATATAGTTGGCAAATTTTATTAGGGACTAATTTAGGCAATAAATATAAAATTCACTTTTAAAAATATGTGTTTCATTAAAAATAGATCAAGAAAGAACCTGAGTTCTATCCACGAATAGACGGCAGATAAATATTCTGATTCGTTTCACTCTAATTAAGAGAGAGAGAAGAAGATTCTGATCATTTCATTACACTAATCAATCTTAAGTAACCGTAACAAGTACTAATCAACCACTCATATATGCACGACACGATGGTCCCAGATAGTCAATATTGATGAGCCACAATATGAACAAATACATTAGCTTAGACTTTGAGGGTTCTCGCTTTCAACCTGCCTACAATGTTAAAAGATAAAACGTAATCAAATTCCTACGAATTATCATGGTTAATTAGGATCCACACAATTAATTAAGCATGGTGTTAGGGTCCCCACATTGACACTTGTGTGTCGACCACTAGCCTCTCATACCTTCGAATGTCTGTTAATCTTTTTGTAGGGGAAAAACATATCTAACAACTAGTATTAAGGAAACTTTGATATCATCCACCTAATAACGTATGTGTTTAACCGAATTTGGTTATTAGAGTTTTCAATATGTGACAGTCATTTTCTCTTCCAGGAATGCTAGGTAGACTAACTTTTAGACCACATTTGTAAATCATGTAATGTGTCACTAATAAAAAATAAACACGTTAGACATTTAAGTAATAATTCAATTATCAACAACTACGTTATGGTTTAGACTCTCTTTTGATTGTAAATCATCAACAACACGTTAGTTAACAACATTTGTAAATCAAATAATATCGCTAACATTACTTTTTCAATGAAAATGGTATTTCGGATGCAAACAGACAAAGTTAGTTCTACTCTATCGTAAATTATATTTTATACTTGAAGAAAAAGTTAGACCCCCCCCCTTCCTACTCATGTGATTTTCTTTTCGTTAACATGTAGGTATGATTCATTGTTATATTACGAAATTCACATGGTCGTGAAATTATTATTTTTTTTTGGGTTTTCGACAATTTATTTAATGAAATTTGAAGTCAGAACTTAATTTAACAAAATCAAAATGAAAATTTTAAAATGTGAACATCCAATTCAAAACTAATTGAATATAAATGAAAGAGACTTAAAATATTCAAAATATATTTGTTTATT